TAGTGTGCTGAGACTCTGGTAGTCTGCTGAGACTCTGGTAGTCTGCTGAGACTCTGGTAGTCTGCTGATTCTGTAACAACCGTGGTTATAAGGGTCGAGTCATAGCTCCTGGCCCCCACCTCTTTACTGGTTACTACTAGGTCCACTCTCTCCCTGCTCCATGAGCTTTATCATACCTCGTCTTAAAGCTATGTATGGTTCCTGCCTCCACTACATCACTTGTCAGATTATTCCACTTCCTGACAACTCTGTGACTGAAGAAATACTTCCTAACATCCCTGTGATTCATCTGTGTCTTCAACTTCCAATTGTGACACCTTGTTGCTGTGTCCCATCTCTGGAACATCCAGTGTTATACCTATATGGCACGACATTAGAGAGAGAGAGAGAGAGAGAGAGAGAGAGAGAGAGAGAGAGAGAGAGAGAGAGAGAGAGAGAGAGAGAGAGAGAGAGAGAGAGAGTGGTGGTGATACTAGTATAGGTTTTGAATCTAGTAGTGGTGGTGGTAGTAGTTTAATATGCACGACGGAAGATGTATATGACAGGGTAGCGCACACACACACACACACACACACTCACACACACACACACACACACACACACACACACACACACACACACACACACACACACACACACACACCTTAAAACTTACCTACATCCAATATTTTTAATACACAAGAATATGATCACATTCTTCTCAGCTGATAATGAATATTTTTGTTACAAGCAGATTTTAGCATAGCACAGTACAGATTTTTCACACACAAACGCTCAGATTTAACATTCGTCTGCAATAATCTTTCAGATTTGATAATACACATTAGGATTTTATCAATACATAGTAACCTTCGTTTTCAGATTACGACCACACAAAGGATTTCCCTAAGAAAAACCTTCAGATTTCAAGGACACGTTAACAAAAATCCCATTACGAAGCCTCAGAGCCAAAATTCACAGATTTATAAACCTGAAAAAAACCGTAATCTGACCCAGCCAGACAAAGTCCACGAAGATGGATCACAACTTGGCTCAGCCTCCCTAGGACTAAGCTGGGACACCCAGCCACGGGAGATGAGCCAAACTCCTGAGCTCAGGAAAATTCCTGGGCTCAAAGTTTAGATGAATAGCTGGGAAAACTGAAGATTAAAGCTTTAAGCTTCAGAAAGATACACAGACTTAATTTTTCAAGCTGAATTTAACAAGAAATTAAAAAAAAAAACTAACATCGCTGTGTTTATAGTGTTTACAAATAAACCCACGATTTACAGTGTCATTTACAAGTAAACCCATGATTTACAGTGTCATTTACAAGTAAACCCACGATTTACAGTGTCATTTACAAATAAACCCACGATTTACAGTGTCATTTACAAGTAAACCCACGATTTACAGTGTCATTTACAAAAAAACCCCCCATTTCAGTTCATTTAAGTAAACCCAGATTTACAGTGTCATTTACAAGTAACCCACGATTTACATGTCATTTACAAGTAAACCCCCGTTTACAGGGCATTTTACAAGTAAACCCCGTTTACAGTGTCATTTTTAAATAAACCCCCCGATTTTCGGGCATTTACAAGTAAACCCCCGATTTACAGTGCATTTCAAGTAAAACCCCCGTTTTTCAGTTCATTTACAGTAAACCCCGATTTACAGTTTCATTTTCAAGTAAACCCATGATTTTCAGTGTCATTTACAAGTATACCCACGATTTACAGTGTCATTTACAAGTAAACCCACGATTTACAGTGTCATTTACAAATACAAACACGATTTACAGTGTCATTTACAAGTAAACCCACGATTTACAGTGTCATTTACAAGTAAACCCACGATTTACAGTGTCATTTACAAGTAAACCCACGATTTACAGTGTCATTTACAAGTAAACCCACGATTTACAGTGTCATTTACAAATACAAACACGATTTACAGTGTTATTTACAAATACAACCACGATTTACAGTGTCATTTACAAAACCACGATTTACAGTGTCATTTACAAAACCACGATTTACAGTGTCATTTACAAATACAACCACGATTTACAGTGTCATTTACAAATACAACCACGATTTACAGTGTCATTTACAAATACAATCACGATTTACAGTGTCTTTACAAAACCACGATTTACAGTGTCATTTACAAATACAACCACGATTTACAGTGTCATTTACAAATACAACCCGATTCAGTGTCATTACCCCAACCACGATTTACAGCGTCATTTACAAATACACCCACGATTTACAGTGTCATTTACAAATAAATCCACGATTTCAGGATGCCCAGGATGCCACCCACAACATCCAACCATCCCCTCCCCCAGGATGCCGCCCCTTCCCACCCTCCTCAGGATGCCACCCACAAAATCCAACCCTCCCCTCCCCCAGATGCCTGCCACAACATTCAGCCCCACCCCCCCCGGATGCCCCCCAAAATCCAACCCCCCCCCCCCCAGGATGCCCCCACAAAATCCAACCTCCCCCCCCCAGGATCCACCCAAACATCCAAAAACCCTCCCCTCCCCCAGGATCCACCCCCAAAATTCAGGTAAATCCAAATACCTAATTACTGTGTAAACAGGAGCAACAGGCACAACTGGGACCTGATGAGGGCTCTCACCCGTGCAAGATTGAACAAAGGTCGTTCAAATTTCAACTCTGGCCCACTGCGTCTATCACATATCAAATTACTAAGACATCTCTCGAATTTTTAATCCAGTGTAGTTGAAAGGCAGTGTGTATAGTTGGAAGGCAGTGTGTATAGTTGGAAGGCAGTGTGTATGGTTGGAAGGCAGTGTGTATAGTTGGAAGGCAGTGTGTATAGTTGGAAGGCAGTGTGTATGGTTGGAAGGCAGTGTGTATGGTTGGAAGGCAGTGTGTATAGTTGGAAGGCAGTGTGTATGGTTGGAAGGCAGTGTGTATGGTTGGGAAAGGGCCCAGCGTGTATGGTTGGAGGCAGTGTGTATGGTTGGAAGGCAGCTTGTAGGGTTTTGGAAGGCAGTGTGTATGGTTGGAAGGCAGCTTGTAGGTTGGTAGTGTGTATAGTTGGGAAAGGGCAGTGTTTTATGGTTGGAAGCAGCGTGTATGGTTGGAAGGCAGGGGTGTATAGTTGGAAGCAGTGTGTATGGTTGGAAGGCAGTGTGTATGGTTGGAAGGAAGCGTGTATGGTTGGAAAGGGCGTGTGTATGGTTGGAAGGCAGTGTGTATGGTTGGAAGGCAGTGTGTATGGTTGGAAGGCAGTGTGTATGGTTGGAAGGCAGTGTGTACGGTTGGAAGGCAGTGTGTATGGTTGGAAGGCAGTGTGTATGGTTGGAAGGCAGTGTGTATGGTTGGAAGGCAGTGTGTATGGTTGGAAGGCAGCTTGTATGGTTGGAAGGCAGTGTGTATGGTTGGAAGGCAGCTTGTATGGTTGGAAGGCAGTGGGGTATGGTTGGAAGGCAGTGTGTATGGTTGGAAGGCAGCTTGTATGGTTGGAAGGCAGTGTGTATGGTTGGAAGGCAGCTTGTATGGTTGGAAGGCAGCGTGTATAGTTGGAAGGCAGTGTGTATGGTTGGAAGGCAGTGTGTATGGTTGGAAGGCAGTGTGTATGGTTGGAAGGCAGTGTGTATGGTTGGAAGGCAGTGTGTATGGTTGGAAGGCAGCGTGTATAGTTGGAAGGCAGTGTGTATGGTTGGAAGGCAGTGTGTATGGCTGGAAGGCAGTGTGTTTGGTTGGAAGGCAGTGTGTATGGTTGGAAGGCAGTGTGTATGGCTGGAAGGCAGTGTGTTTGGTTGGAAGGCAGTGTGTAGGGTTGGAAGGCAGTGTGTTATGGCGGGAAAAAGGCAGTGTGTATGAACTGGAAGGCAGTGTGTATGGCTGGAAGGCAGTGTGTATGGCTGGAAGGCAGCGTGTATGGCTGGAAGGCAGTGTGTATGGCTGGAAGTCAGTATGGCTGAAGGCAGTGTGTAGGGCTGGAAGGCAGTGTATGGCTGGAAGGCAGTGTGTATGGCTGGAAGGCAGTGTGTATGGCTGGAAGGCAGTGTGTATGGCTGGAAGGCAGTGTGTATGGCTGGAAGGCAGCGTGTATGGCGGGAAAGGCAGCGTGTATGCTGGAAAGGGCAGTGTGTCTGGCTGGAAGTCAGTATGGCTGGAAGGCAGCGTGTATGGCTGGAAGGCAGTGTGTATGGCTGGAAGGCAGTATGGCTGGAAGGCAGTGTGTATGGCTGGAAGGCAGTGTGTATGGCTGGAAGGCAGTATGGCTGGAAGGCAGTGTGTATGGCTGGAAGGCAGTGTGTATGGCTGGAAGGCAGAAATGGCTGGAAGGCAGTGGTATGGCTGGAAGGCAGTGTGTATGGCTGGAAGGCAGTGTGTATGGCTGGAAGGCAGTGTGTATGGCTGGAAGGCAGTGTGTATGGCTGGAAGGCAGCGTGTATGGCTGGAAGGCATCCACAGTGTGAGCGAAACATCGCACTCACACATTTACTCCACCAGTTTTCAAAACCATCCCACACTATCTTAAAAATCCTCTTACTTACGCAAGAAAAAGGCCGAAAACAAATGAAAAATGGAGTGAAAAAGTAAATCCCTTGAAGGTTTGAATTGTATGTTTTATTAGATGTTAGAAGAAGCCTGAGTGGAAGCCTGAGTGGAAGCCTGAGTGGAAGCCTCGACTGCCAGCAATGTGGACTCCTGAAGGGAATCATTTACGATCCATCAAATTGAAAATGAGTGAGACGTCTTTGTGTTTTGCGTCTCTAAATTTGCACAAGTTGAAGTGAAAGTGTGGAGAGAGAGAGGGAGGGAGAGAGGAGAGAGGAGAGAGAGAGGGAGAGAGAGAAGAGAGAGAGAGAGAGAGAGAATGGGAGGGAGGGAGAGAGACCGGGAAGTGAGACTGTCAATGTGTGTGTGCGTGTGAAAGTGCGACAGAATATGTACTCAATTGTGGTTGAAGGAGTCGGTTCATAGCTCCTGGCCCAACCTCTTCAATGATCTTTATTGTGTGTACACACACACACACACTGGGAGTTAGAGCTCCAAAAAAGGGAGGAAGAGTGGGGAAGGAAGATAGTAGAGCTTGGTAAGAAAATGGAGGAGCGGATAGCTGAAGAGTGCAGGAAGTGGGAAGTACAGGTCTTAGCAGCAGAAGCTAGGATACAGTGCTTAGAAGAGAAACTGCAAAGCCTGAAACAGATTAGAGAGACAAATGACAATTCAGATGTGACATCAGGAAATTCAAAGTCAGGCGCAGACAGGGGATGGTAAGCAACAACGGAGACATGCCGTACACAAAGGCCCTATCAGACCCACGTGGGGCCAGGGAAAAGACGATGAGCACACTAAGATCAAACGACAGGTCCGAAGACAATGAAGGTATGCTATATGCAGAGATTCTAACAGCCAACTGCAGTAGCAAGGGACAGGTCAGGAAAGACAGTTCACTGAGAATAGAAGTTTCAGATATGACAGGGACTGAAGGCAAGAACATGTCAATGGAAGGAAATAAAATGCCTCAGAGGAAGCAGATGGAGACTCAGTGGGAGGAGGAAAGGGCGAGGTCAGTTTTTGTGTACGGGCTCCAAGAAGCCAAGGGGGACAACTTTGAAGAAATAAAACAGGAGGAGAAAAAAATGATTGAAGGCATCATGAAAACAATAGGTGAGGGCGATATGACCCAGGTGACAAATTTTCAGAGAATTGGGTGGTTTGCGAGTGGAAGGATATGGCCTGTCAGAGTAACTTTCAAGGAAGAATCAGTTCGAACCAGGATTCTGCAAGAGAAAGCAAGACTGAGGGACAAAGAGGGGTACCAGAGAGTATACCTCGACCGCGACAGAACACAAGAAGAAAGGACTACACTGAAAGAGAGGGTCATGGACCGGGCCGCGGGGGCGTTGATCCCCGGAATAACCTCCAGGTAACCTCCAGGTACAGAGACGCAAGGAGGAACGAGAAGCAATGACGAAAATGAGCAGGACCCAGGCACAGGAGGAAGGGCAAACACACCCCACAGAATCTCCCACCAAAAGACTCCAACCGCGACATTCCCAACGCAACTGAGCAACCTATACTACAACCCACTTACTGTTCCCTCTGCCACCAACCCCCATATCACAAACCTCACCCCAACAGCTGTCCCTTATGGGCATTCTGACCCCACCCCCATCAACACAAACCCCACCTACACCACAGCCCCATATAGGCCCCCACCAAGGCTCTCGCTCCCCCAACCCCAATATTCTTGCATGACCACAATGATAGAAAAGAAACTGAAGGTTTGGTACACAAACGCGGATGGAATAACGAATAAACATGAGGAGTGGAACGAAAGAATCAGTGAAAAATCCCCAGACATCATAGCAGTCACAGAAACAAAACTCGCTGAGACAATAACAGACACAATCTTCCCAACAGGATATCAGATCCTGAGGAAAGATAGAAGGAGTAGAGGGGGAGGAGGGGTTGCACTGCTCATAAAACACCAATGGGGATTTGAGGAAATGGAAGGCATGGACATGATTGGAGAAAGAGACTACATTGTAGGTACAATTCAGTCCGGAGACCATAAAGTAGTCATCGGAGTGATGTATAACCCACCACAGAACTACATGAGGTCAAGAGAGGAGTACGAAGAAAACAACAGGGTGATGGTGGACACACTGGCTGAGGTGGCAAGAAGAGCTCACTCGAGCAGAGCAAAGTTACTGGTAATGGGCGATTTCAACCACAGGGAGATCGACTGGGAAAACCTGGAGCCACATGGGGGTCCCGAAACATGGAGAGCCAAGATGATGGATGTGGTACTTGAAAACCTCATGCATCAACATGTCAGGGACACAACCAGAGAGAGAGGGGAGCATGAACCAGCAAGACTGGATCTTGTGTTCACCCTGAGCAGTTCAGACATTGAGGACATCACTTACGAGAGGCCCCTTGGAGCTAGCGATCACGTGGTTCTGAGTTTTGACTATATAGTAGAGTTACAAATGGAGAAGGTAACAGGAACTGAATGGGACAGGCCAAACTATAAAAGGGGGGACTACACAGGTATGAGAAACTTCCTGCAGGAGGTTCAGTGGGACAGAGAAATGGTAGGAAAATCAGTAAACGAGATGATGGAATATGTGGCAACAAAGTGCAAGGAGGCAGAGGAAAGTTTTGTTCCCAAGGGAAACAGAAATAATAGGAAGACCAAAACGAGTCCTTGGTTTACCCGAAGGTGTAGGGAGGCAAAAACTAAGTGCAACAGAAAATGGAAAAGGTGCAGGAGGCATAGGACCCAGGAAAACAAGGAGATTAGTAGAAGAGCCAGAAACGAGTATGCACAGATAAGGAGGGAGGCCCAGCGACAGTATGAAAACGACATAGCATCGAAAGTCAAATCTGACCCCGAAACTGCTGTATAGCCACATTAGGAGGAAGACAACAGTCAAGGACCAGGTGATAAGGCTGAGGAAAGAAGGTGGAGAACTCACAAGAAACGATCAAGAGGTATGTGAGGAGCTCAACACGGATTTAAGGAAGTATTTACAGTAGAGTCAGGAAGGACTCTGGGGGACAGACCAGATGGGGACACCAGCAAGGAATACACCAACAAGTGTTGGACGACATACATACAGATGAGGGGGAGGTGAAGAAACTGCTAAGGGACATCGATACCTCAAAGGCAATGGGACCGGACAACATCATCCCGTGGGTCCTTAGAGAGGGAGCAGATATGTTGTGCGTGCCACTTACCACAATCTTCAACACGTCCCTGGAAACTGGGCAACTACCTGAGGTATGGAAGACGGCAAATGTAGTTCCCATTTTTAAAAAAGGAGACAGAAAAGAGGCACTAAACTATAGACCTGTGTCATTGACGTGTATAGTATGCAAAATTATGGAGAAGATTATCAGGAGGAGAGTGGTGGAGCACCTGGAACGGAACAAGAGTATAAATGCCAACCAGCACGGATTTTACGGAAGGCAAATCCTGTGTCACAAACCTTCTGGAGTTTTATGATAAAATAACAGAAGTAAGACAAGAGAGAGAGGGGTGGGTTGATTGCATCTTCTTGGACTGCAAGAAGGCCTTTGACACAGTTCCTCACAAGAGATTAGTGCAGAAGCTAGAGCATCAGGCGCATATAATAGGAAGGGCACTGCAATGGATCAGAGAATACCTGACAGGGAGGCAACAACGAGTCATGGTACGTAATGATGTATCACAGTGGGCACCTGTGACGAGCGGGGTCCCACAGGGGTCGGTCCTAGGACCATTGCTATTTTTGGTATATGTGAACGACATGATGGAAGGGTTAGACTCAGAAGTGTCCCTGTTTGCAGATGATGTGAAGTTAATGAGGAGAATTAAATCTGATGAGGACCAGGCAGGATTTCAAAGAGACCTGGACAGACTGGACAACTGGTCCAGCAAATGGCTTCTCGAATTTAATCCTGCCAAATGCAAAGTCATGAAGATAGAGGAAGGGCACAGAAGACCACAGACAGAGTATAGGCTAGGTGGCCAAAGACTGCAAACCTCACTCAAGGAGAAAGATCTTGGGGTGAGTATAACACCGAGCATGTCTCCGGAAGCACACATCAATCAGATAACTGCTGCAGCATATGGGCGCCTGGCAAACCTGAGAACAGCATTCCGATACCTTAGTAAGGAATCATTCAAGACACTGTACACCGTGTATGTCAGGCCCATGCTGGAGTATGCAGCACCTGTTTGGAACCCGCACTTGATAAAGCACGTCAAGAAACTAGAGAAAGTACAAAGGTTTGCGACAAGGTTAGTTCCAGAGCTAAGGGGAATGTCCTATGAAGAAAGATTAAGGGAAATCGGCCTGACGACAATGGAAGACAGGAGGGTCAGGGGAGACATGATAACGACATATAAAATACTGCGTGGAATAGACAAGGTGGACAAAGACAGGATGTTCCAGGGAGGGGACACACAAACAAGAGGCCACAATTGGAAGTTGAAGACACAAATGAGTCAGAGAGATAGTAGGAAGTATTTCTTCAGTCATAGAGTTGTAAGGCAGTGGAATAGCCTAGAAAATGACGTAGTGGAGGCAGGAACCATACACAGTTTTAAGACGAGGTTTGATAAAGCTCATGGAGCGGGGAGAGAGAGGGCCCAGTAGCAACCGGTGAAGAGGCGGGGCCAGGAGCTAAGACTCGACCCCTGCAACCACAAATAGGTGAGTACACACACACACACACACACACACACACAGGGGAATATCGTACGAGGAAAGGTTGAGGGAAATCGGACTGATGACACTGGAGGACAGAAGGGTCAGGGGAGACATGATAACGACATACAAGATATTGCGGGGAATAGACAAGGTGGACAGAGATAGGATGTTCCAGAGAGGGGACACAGAAACAAGGGGTCACAACTGGAAGCTGAAGACTCAGACGAGTCACAGGGATGTTAGGAAGTATTTCTTCAGTCATAGAGTTGTCAGGAAGTGGAATAGCCTAGCAAGTGACATAGTGGAGGCAGGAACCATACATAGTTTTAAGAAGAGGTATGACAAAGCTCAGGAAGCAGAGAGAGAGGACCTAGTAGCAATCAGTGAAGAGGCGGGGCCAGGAGCTGAGTCTCGACCCCTGCAACCACAATTAGGTGAGTACACACACCACAATGTACAATCAAGAAAAATAACCAGTAAAAACCAAGCCTAAAAAAGTCCTCTGAAGCCGCTAAAGTAGAATATATAAAACATAAGAGACACCGGATATTGTGCAGCCACGAACTCTAAAGTCAGGGGAAAAATCCACGTCCAATGGAAACTTATCCAGAAGACGTGTCTTTGTAAAGCTCTGGTAATATAGTGGACCCCCGCATAACGATTACCTCCAAATGCGACCAATTATGTAAGTGTATTTATGTAAGTGCGTTTGTACGTGTATGTTTGGGGGTCTGAAATGGACTAATCTACTTCACAATATTTCTTATGGGAACAAATTCGGTCAGTACTGGCACCTGAACATACTTCTGGAGTGAAAAAATATCGTTAACCGGGGATCCACTGTATACAGTGAAGCACAGTGCTCCACTTGTTGCCTCTCTCTCCAATCACTGCGACTAGCCAAGGACTCGAACCCATGCTGCTTTGGCCTGCCTCATGGTGGGCGAAAACTAATGACGCCTTAATCCACTGGATTGTTTGGTCCAGTGGATTAAGGCGTCATGAGTTTTCGCCCACCATGAGGCAGGCCAAAGCAGCATGGGTTCGAGTCCTTGGCTAGTGCAGTGTTGTTAATGATCAATACCACTCGTTCGTGAGCACAATAATATATATATATATATATATATATATATATATATATATATATATATATATATATATATAATATGTCGTGCCGAATATGTAAAACTGGTCAATTAGCAAGACTCATTTAAAATTAAGTCCTTTCTAAAATTTTCTCTTATACGTTTAAAGATATATTTTTTTCATTAATGTTAATGTAAAAATTATAATTTTGCACCAAAAGGAACTTAGAAAACTTACCTAACCTTATTATAACAAGAACAATTTATTTTAGCCTAACCCAACTAAATATATTTTAGATTTGTTTACAATAATTTAATACTAAACAAACACAGTGAAATATATTTTTTTTCGTTAGGTTCAGAATGATTTTGGCGAAATTATTGCATACACAAATTTTCACTTGTCCTATATGGCAATATGAACGTTGCTATTTAAGCCAAGATGGCAAGTTCTGCCTATTCGGCACGACATATATATATATATATATATATTATATATATATATATATATATATATATATATATATATATATATATTCAAAACTACTACAGGGGGGTTGAATGATAGCTCTAGGCCTTTCATGTTACATTCAACACATCTTCAGGAGCTTGCAATGTTGCAGAAATGGGTAGGCAGTCTATGTAGATTCGTTCAAGGGAACTACACTAGCCACAATGAGATGGCATCAAGCAGACTAGTGCCAGGTGCCACAGAGACGGACGGATTCCCTATCCTCTTCTACCCCTTCCTCCTCTTCTTTCTACCCTGCCTATCACCCCACAAACACCACTCCTCTTCCAAAATTTCCCCACTTTTCGTTCCCCTCCCCTGTTTCTCCCCTGCCAGCAGTAATATTCCCCTCCACATCATTTACCTCGTCTCCCAGTTAACTTTCTCACTCTCTTTCACTACATAATATCTCCCAGTTCCTCTTTCCTCCATGTTCATCCTCTGTTATGTTCATCTTTGATGGATTTCCAGAATTTTCCTGTTCCAGCAGCCTGGTCCTGGACCAGGATTGTCTGGTCGTGGACCAAGATTGTCCAGTCACCCAGGTTGTTGCTGCTGGTGGTCCTGGACCAACCTTGTCTGGTCACCCACGTTGTTGCTGCTGATGGTCCTGGACCAGGCTTGTCTGGTGCTTGTCTGGTCAACCAGGTTGTTGTTGCTGGTGGTCCTGGACCAGTGCTTGTCTGGTCAACCAGGCTGTTGCTGGTGGTCCTGGATCAGTGCTTGTCTGGTCAATCAGGTTGATGCTGGTGGTCCAGGACCAGTGCTTGTCTGGTCAACCAGGTTGTTGCTGATGGTCGTCCTGGATCAGGCTTGTCTGGTGCATATCTAGTCAACCAGGCTGTTGTTGCTGGTGGTCCTGGAACAGTGCTTGTCTGGTCAACCAAGTTGTTGTTGCTGGTGGTCCTGGAACAGTGCTTGTATGGTCACCCAGGTTGTTGTTGCTGGTGGCCCTGGACCAGTGCTTGTCTGGTCAATCAGGTTGTTGTTGCTGGTTGTCCTGGACCAGTGCTTGCCTGGTCAATCAGGTTGTTGTTGCTGGTGGTCCTGGACCAGTGCTTGTCTGGTCAACCAGGTTGTTGTTGCTGGTTGTCCTGGACCAGTGCCTGTCTGGTCAATCAGGTTGTTGTTGCTGGTGGTCCCGGACCAGTGCTTGTCTGGTCAATCAGGTTGTTGCTGGTTGTCCTGGACCAGTGCTTGTCTGGTCATCCAGGTTGTTGTTGCTGGTGGTCCTGGACCAGTGCTTGTCTGGTCACCCAGGTTGTTGTTGCTGGTCCTGGACCAGGCTTGTTTGGTCACCGAGGTTGTTGCTGGTGGTCCTGCACCAGTGCTTTTTCTGGTCAACCAGGCTGTTGTTGCTGGTGTATATGACTGCATTTGGTAGTCTGACAGTGTATTTGGTAGTTCAAAGGTAATACTAATTTAGAGATCATAGTGTAAAGGTCATAATTTAAAGATAAAAGTAATTTAAAGGTCAAGGTAACTTAAAGGCCATAGTTTAAATGTCAAGGGTAACTTAAAGGTCATAGTTTAAAGGTTAGGGTAACTTA